TCTTTGTATGTATATGTATATAGGTATATGTATACATATGTTGTTATATGATATGGGGTAGATCCAACTATATTCATCCGAATAATTACAGCAACATTAACTGGATGCGTTGATTTTCATTTCATGGATATGTCACAATTTATTTGATTAATCTCACAATTTTGTGAGATGATTAATCCTACTTTTAATTACTATAAAAATTTGACACAAACCTTCCTATAAAGTCTCCAGGTACAGGGTCATTTCTGTTTAAGCGTAATTCCACTACATGAGTAATTTCGCTGTGGGGCAGTTCTGGTGATGCAAAGTGTGGCTCTGGTGGTAGATGACTAAAAGAAGAGTGTAAAGGCCATTAGAAAGGAGGAATCCTTGGTCATCACAGCTCACTCCTATCCCCTGGCCCTGCCCATGCTGAGCTTTGAGCCCTCTGAGGTTCTGCCTGGAAAAACATCTCCTTCCACTCAACGCCTTACGGAGTCTCAAGGGAGGCCTCTGCCCTGGTGTATCTGCCAGCGCTATCCCATCTGCTTTCTGTTTTCAGAAATCATAAAAGTCTGCCTTCTCTCCCTCCTGCTTTCAGGACTAAAATGGAGTTATTTCTTTTTGTATATCTTTACTGCAATTTTAATGGAGTTTGAGGAAGACTGCTTTTTCTTTTTTAAAAAAATTAAAACACAGAAGTAGGCAGATAATTTTGCCTATTGGAACCCTATCTGTTTATCTGGTGTTAGCTTGATGCAAATTCTGCCAACAGTACAAGAAAAAATAGAACAGCCTTTTGAGAGCCTAATAAGTCACTGGCACACTAAGAATGTTTGCTGTTCACAGAAACACAGTTCTGAGTTTTAGCCTTACAATGTTCCCAACCAAATAACTGATGAGAAAATTCAAGCATAGGGACACAGATATCTGAACCATACTTGTCCACACCCCTATATGCAAAAATATATCTAGACATGTGAGCCCAAAATCATGAACAGACATAATTACACTTATATACTCACAACTTACATATTTACAAGAATAGGTGGATTTGCATAGGGTTAAGATAGCGGTTGATTACATAAGAGAAAAGGAAGGCAAGTGGAGGAGAGTGGGTGAGTAAACCTGAAAATAAGTCCAGAAATAGGAGGCTTTATCATGGAAATTACTTGACAATAAATATATTCATGTATCAAATTATTATACTGTACACTTTAAACTTATACAATATGTCAATTAAATCAAACTGGAAACACACACACACACACATACACACACACACACATACACACAAAGTAATGGAGGATAATTTTAAAAATAAAGCAGATGCAAAAGACCAAAGAGTAAAAACATGGGAATTTGTAAAGCATGGGGGAAACAGGGTCCTTTTCTTAGAAGGGTCATGTATTCCTATTTCTATTGTTTCTGTGCTTCATAGCTATGCCCCTTCACTCTCCTGTTATAAAATATACTTAAAAATATTCACCTCCACATTTATTATTTCTTAAAAACAGCTTGACATATTCATATACCATAAAATTCACCCTGTTCAAGTGTACAGTTCTGTGGTTTAGAGAATAGTCAGAGTTGTACAACCATAACTACTTACCTAGTTCCAGAAATTTCCATTATCCCTGAAATAAACCTCATGCTCATTGCATTCATTCTCCACTATCCCCCTTCTCTGGCAACCACAAATGTACTTTCTGTCTCCATGGATTCTCCTATTTTGGACATTTCATATAAATGAGAACAAATAATATGGGTCCTTTTGTGTCTGGCTTCTTTCACTTTGCAGAATGTTTTCAAGGTTCATCCAAGTCAGAGTCATGTATCAGTGCCTCACTCCTTTTTATTACCAATTAATATCCCATTGTATGGATGTATCAGTTTTTTTCATTTTCAATTTTTTAAAACTGTGGTAAAAAACACATAATATAACATTTACCACTTTAACTCTTTTCATTATGTACAATATTACTTTGGTTTCAAGTATAAAACATAGTGATCTGACAGTTATCTAAACTATTAAATCCTCACCCCAGCTATGTAGTTACTGTCAACACAGAAAGATGTCACAGAATTATTGGCTATATGCTCTATGCTCTATATCTTTTTCAATCAGATATTTTGTTTTCTATGGGTAAATTCCTAAAAGTGTAGTTACTGGGTTCTATGGTATTTCTATTTTTAGTTTTCTGAAGAAACTTCATATTGTTTTCCACAGTGGCTGCACCAGTATACATTCCTACCTACTGTGTATGAGTGATCCTTTTCCTCCACATCCTCTCCAACACTTGTTATTTCTTGTCTTTTGGATGGTGGTCATTCTGACTGGTGTGAAGTGATAGCTCATTGTGGTTTTGATTTGTATTTCCCTGATGATTAGTGAAGTAGAACATTTTTTCATGTGCCTGTATGTCTTCTTTGTAAAAATGTCTATTTAGGTCCTCTGCCCATTTTTTAATTGGGTTATTTATTTATTTTTTGGCATTGAGTCATATGAGTTCTTTATATATTTGGATGTTAGCCCCTTATTGGATATATCACTTATGAATATATTCTCCTGTATCATACTGTAGGTTGCCTTTTTGTTTTGTTAGTGGTTTCCTTTGCTGTACAGAAGCTTTTTAGTTTAATATAGTCCCACTTGTTTATTTTTGCTTCTGTTTCCCTTGCCCAGGGAGACATATTCAGAAAAGTTTCTCATGCTTATGTTTAAGAGATTTTTGCTTGTTTTCTTCTAAGTTTTATGGTTTCATGTCTTACACTTAGGTCTTTAATCCATTTCAGGTTTACTTTTGTGTATGGTGTCAGAGAGTAACACCCTAACTATTTTTAAGTGTACAGTCCAGTAGTATTAAGTACATTCACATTATGTACAGCACATCTCCAGAACTTTTCCATCTTGAAAACCTAAAACTATTAAACAACTCTACTTAATACCTATTAAACAACTTTTCATTTTCCCTTTCCTCAAGTCCCTGATAACCACTGTATTCTGTAGAACAATGAATTTGGCTTGCTTAAATACCTCATAAAAGTGGAATAAAAAAATATTTGTCTTTTTGTAACTGACTTGTTTCACTTAGCATAATGTCCTCAAAATTTATCCATGTTGTAACATATGACTGGATTTCTTTCCTTTTTAAGGCTGAATAATACTCCATTGTGTGTAAAGACCACATTTTGTTTGTCTATTCATCTGTCTATCACCACATTTAAAAAAATCCATTCACCACTTGATGGACCTTCGTGTTGTTTCCACATTTTGGTTATTATGAATGTTGCTATGAACATTCATGTACAAGTTTTTGTATGGCCAAACTCTTCAATTGACTTGAGTGTTTTCAGCTGACTTGAGTATATACCTAGGTGTGGAATTGCTAAGTCATATGATAGTCTTTCACCTTCCCACTAACAGTGTATGTGTTCTAATATCTGCATGTCCTTGTCAACACTAGTTACTGACTGGGTATGAAATGGTATTCTTGTCATGGTTTTGATTTAAATTTCCCTAATGATGAATGATATCACATTTATTCAGTAAATGAAAGAGAGGAGAAGATAAGGCCCAGGAAAACTGCGCTAGTAACTTCAGCTTGTATTACTGTGAAGAGATCAGGGTGACTAGGGAAAGCTGTGAGGGAAGGTTATCAGGACTGTCAGGTAAAATCTAACATTGATACTGTTGATAATGATATTACTAAATAGTAAGCGCTAACAGTGCCAGATACTAAGTGCTTTTACATGTTACCTCATTTAACAACACTTGAGACCCTCACACCTCTTATCTGTGGGAATAACTGTCAGAAGCATCCTTAGAGGATTCCTTCAAGGGAAATCGTATGTTTTGATCTCTGCTTGTTCTGACATTGAAACTATTTCCCATTACATTTTCTTTTTCTGGAAGATAAGAAAATCTCACATTTGGTGGTTGAGGTGATGTGGGGAAAGAATCACAGGGTATGGGTTGAGGGGTTAGGAGTGACTGAGAGGAACAGGTTTCTTGAATTGAGAATTTCCCTCTGACCAGAAGAAAGTTTGTACTGATTTCTGTCATAGGTGCCAAGTAAAATGAAGTCTGTATCTTTAAAAGTACAAGAGGAATTTTATATTTTACTTTAACAATGTTATTAAACATCAATTATGATCTCTTGAGATGCTAGCAATGTTTTAAATTAATTTTTTGTATTGAAGTATAGTGGTCATACAATATTATATTAGTTTCAGGTGTACAACATAGTGTTGCATTTTTATTCCTTGAGTCCTCCAAGTCTCTGTCAGTTTTACTCTGAAGAGGGCCATCTCTGAGGCCTCTCTTACAGTTGATAGCCAGTTCCACCTAGACTCTCACTTTTAGTGTTTACTCCTGGTAAACACTAGGAGTGATTTACTGGTCCGGGATGACTTCCTACCACCGAGGGACTAAGAACTGAATATACTTTCAGCTGATTGATCTTCTACACTAGGCGGCTCTTTTAGTAAAGAGCTTGATTCACCAAAAATGAGGTTTGATCTCCATTTTCTCCCTTTTTTCAGCCAGATATGTTCAAACAGGATCTCTGGACCATACCAAGCCCATCCCCTTTGGTCCATTGCCGCATTGTGAAAGGTCAAAATGACAGTTGTGAGATGTATCATAGAAAGCCAGTGAGAAGGGCCAGGTGGCTGGTGTCGTCTGGTACAAGGTGTTCTGCCTAAGAAACATTAAAGCCACCAGGTATTAGGACTGAAAACTAGCTAACTGAATTTGTTAATACCTATTTCAGATGTTATTGGTACCATCCACGTTTTTGGTCACTAATGTTGGCCCTTCAACTGTTGGGTTATTTTGTTCAACCAACTGATTAAGCATAACTTTGGTTATGTCACACAACTTTTCCCATAAGGTTCATTGCAAATTTATTGGCTTTCACCCTAGTTTTGTCAGTTCACAACCCACAGAAAAGCTGTTTATCTGAGAACATTTATTGAACCTAAGCACATGGACATTTTGTGGACTGTTGAAAAAAAATTAACTAAGCTTTGAGTTACAAGGAAATTTTTTGTATAATTATTAGAAATGAAATTCAAGTATAAAAAGTAGGATTTATGCATCATTGTTAAAAGAGAATTGGAATCACACTGAGTCACCAGTTAAACAATATAAAGAATCAAGTTGGCTTTAATGTTCAAGTAGAAATTGAATGAAAGGTTCAGTTCACAAAAACAGTATCAGATGATTATCTCAGTTATGATTGCTGAGCAGATACTGTCCTATCAGACAGACCATATTAAGGCTTTCTGCTTTTAAATACCAGTTGGACTGGTTGGTTACACATTCCACATAATGTAGACACTGTTCAGTCAACAAAGGTAATGAGCAAGTGACATTCTGCCTCTCCCACAGGTGTGTATGGAGTAGTAGAGCATGTTTGTGTTTTGCTGTACATTAACCAGAAGAGAAGTATCCGTAGGGATAGATTAAATCACATCCACTAATGGCAGACTATAACATGCAGGGTCAGAAAGGAAAATAGTAAAAATATGTTGGAGGGATTAAGAAACAAGAAAAAAGATATTAAAACAATCACCTTACATTAAGAGGGAGAAAAAGTGCTATTGCAAATTATTTTCCATATATTTTCGAATTAAAAATTCTGTGAAAGGCTTGGAGAAATGATAGACTTGTACGCTTTTTGAGACTTGCATACAAATTGCTAATATTCTTTTCTTGATCCTCTTTGGGATCTGTGAACTTGTTAAGTGCTTTGGAGGATTGGGTACCTAATTATCAATGCATGGGTAAGTATAACATTGTGTCTGTTTTTGTATGATTAACCAGAGGCATCTGTAACTGCTGTGTGAATTTTGCAAGTAGGTACTCTATAGATTTTCACTCAAAAATTAAGAACACATTTAGGCAGAGTCATTACCAGCAACCTTTCAAAATCCATTTTTCAGAGTGAGAAACAGAACGTAGTATTGACACTGACAGTTGTGAACAATGCTGAGGAGAGATTCATTCTTGGTAGGTTTCATATTTGTCTCTCTGTTTTATCATTTCCTGTACCTGAGGAGAATGAAAAATAATTTTTTCCACTTGCAATTTTGGTCTACTTGGAATTACCATATCTTGTGGGGTTAAAATATGTAGCAATTTAAAATACAGAAGGCCTTGTACTGACCTGATACAAATAATTTAGACTTTGATAAGTCAAGAATATATGTTATAATCTCTAGAGAAACCATTAAAAATATTAAGAGGATTATTAGGGCAGTAATTATAGATACATATCATATGCATTTGTCAAAACCTGTAGAATATAGAACACAAAGAGAGGGATCATAATATAAACCATGGACTTGAGTTAATAGTGAAGTATGAATATTGGTTCACCAATTGCAACAAATTATCACACTAATGTAAGATGTTAATAGGCGAAACCCAGGAGTAGGAAGTGGGGGAAGGGAAAAGGAATAAGCAGGAACTCTTATTTTCTGGTCAATTTTTCTGTAAACCTAAAACTATTCTAAAAAATGAAGTCTGTTAATTTTTAAAAATCACCCTAATTTTAAACAAGAAAAAATTAAGAGAGTGTAACATATAAAGTAATAAAAAGTAGAATGATAAAAGAAGGGAAAAAGTGGAGGAAGAAAAACAGAACAGGTAGGACATATAGATGTATGTGGTAGGACAAAAGATTTAAACCCAAATATATCTTTAATAATATCAAATAAAAATGGGCTAAATGCTCTAATTCAAAGCTTGTTAGACTTGAATAATGATAAAAAATTATAATATGTGCTATTTATAAGAACTAAATGAAGTAAACTAAATGAAGTGAAAATACCGTATAGTGAAGTGAAAATACTATGTAGTGAAGTTTATGTTATAAACTTTAAATGCATATAGTATATATAAAAAAGGAAGATCTGCTTCTTATATGAAAGAGTAAGCACTTTAAAAAATGAAACCTACAAATAAAAGTTATGTACTAAAATTTAAGGACATAGTAAAGCTAAAAGTAATAGGATGGAAATATATATGCCATTTAAATATCTACCAAATTAAATCTCGTATAGCCATAACAATGTTGAGCAGTGTTCATGCTATACCTTTTAATGATAAAAGGTTTAGTTTACCAGAAAGATGTAAGAATATTAAATTCACAGGCACCTAATAACATAGCCTCAACTATATATACACTGCATACATTGACAGAACTAGAGAAGATAGGCAAATCCACAATCATATTGCAAGACTTGAAAACATGTTAAGCAAATCTGATTTAATGGATATATTTGGAACACTTCCCATAATTGCAGAATAAATCTTTTTCAAACCCCGGTTAAATATGAAAAATATGAAAGCTTTTCTCTATGATCAGGAAGAAGGCAAAAATTAACCTTATGCTGTCATAAAACAAGTTAACACATTTCAAAGATTTAAAATCTTGTTCTATGAGCAAGTACAAGTTAGAAATTATTAACCAAAGGGCAAGTAGAAAATCCAATATTTGATCATTTATATAAATAATCTAATGTCCCCAAACCCATCAGTTGAAGAAGTCATAATGAAAATTAAAAATTGTTTTGAACTAAATGAAGTGAAAATACCATAGTGAAGTTTATGTGTAAACTTTAAGTGCATATGTTATATATAAAAAAGGAAGATCTGCTTTCTATATGAAAGAGTAAGCACTTTAAAAATGAAACCTACAAATAACAATTAGGTACTGTGATAAAATACAATCCCATGTCCAAAACAAACAAACAAACAAACAAACAAACCCAAAGCTGAACCAAACAAAACCCCACAACTACCTGAATGCTCTGGACACTAAGCAAAGACATGCAGATTTGGAAGGGGAATCTAAACTCGGAGTGAGTGACTAACGTGGAATGATAACTTTGACCCAGTGACAGCTCTGGCTGTGGCTGCTCAGAATTGTCTAAGATTCCAAAAGACTGTCTTTCTGGATAGAAGAATCAGGGGAAGTAACCTGATCGATTTGGCCAGATGTGAAGAGTAAAGGGGAATCCTAGAAAAGGGAAGAAATTCTCCAAATGTATGTGAACTCTGCATAAGCCTCAAGCTGACACTTGAATCGTGTGCACTTGCAGGACAGATTCAAAGGAGTGCAGCAAGGGCTTAAAGAACTGGCCTGAGCTATGATCCAACAACCACAGAAAGCAAGAGAGAGCTTACAGTTTGAATCTAACCAAGGAAAACTAAGAGTGTTCATTGCCAGCAGTCCTGGAATAGAAGAAGTGCATAAAAAAGATTTTCTGTTTGAAGAAATAATTTCAGAGAGAAACTTGAAAATTCACAAACGAATGAAGAACATTAGTAATATAAATTATCTGAATAAATGTAAAAGGGTTTTTTCTAAAGTTCCTTAATATATACATGATTATTTAAATCCATAATTATATTATTGTCTTGGGAGTTTTTCATATTTGTAGAAAGTGATACATGTAAGAAGTTTAACATAAAGGACAGTGGATGGGAGTAAAGGGTCCTATATGATTATAAGGTTTACTTTTGATGTGAAGTGATACAAATATTAACTTTGTTCCGTGAAGGGTTAGGGATATATATTGTAATCCCAAAAGCAATCATTAAAAAATAATGTGCGGTTTAGTTAAAAAGCCAATAGATAAAGTAGAATACTGAAGTTATTCAAATAATCTAAAAGAAGGCAATAAAAGGGGAACAGAGGAATTAAAAAAAAAACAGACACAAAAAACAAGCAATAAAATGGGAAATCTAAATTCAACGGTATTGATCATTAGGTTAAATGTTAAGGTTTATACCAGGGGTTGGTATAAATTTCTCCTGAAAAGGCCTGGATAATACTGACTTTAGGCAGGACAAATATTATCTCCGTTGCTGCTACTGAGACCCCCTTCCTCCTGCCTTTCCCCTCCTTTCTTTCAGACCCCATCTTCTCTTTCTTCCCCTCTTCTTCCTTCTCCTCCTCCTCCTACTTCAACCACTTAAAAAATGTTAATTCTTTCTTAGAATGTGGGTTATTTAAAAACAGATGGTCCTAAACAACAACAACAACAAAAAATCAGCAAAGATGGAAGATTTGAATAACATTACAAACCTCTTTGATCTGACTGAAACTAACTGAACACCAGATCAACAACAGTAGAAAACACTTTCTTTTCAAGTGAATATTATACATTGTCCAAGATGGACAATATACTGGGTCATAAAAATGTTTTAATAAACGAAAAGAGACTGAAATTGTACAGAAAACAACAAAATTAAACTGGAAATCAAGAATAATATCTAGAAAAACTCCAAATATTTGGAAATGAAACAATATTCTTCTAAATAAATAGCTGGTCAAAGAAGAAATCACAAGAGAAACTACAAAATATTTTGAACTGAATGATAATGAAAATATAATGTATCAAGATTTGTGAGATGCAACTAATGCAGTGCTTAGAGGGAAATATATTTTTAAATGTCTATATTAGAAAAGAAGAAAAGTCTAAAATCAATAATCTAAGGCTTTGCATTAAGAGGCTAGAAAAAAAAAGTAAGCCAAAATTAGGAAGAGGAAAGGAGATATTGAAATAAAAGATAACAATAGAGAATACTAATGAAGCCAAAAGATGGTTCTTTGAAAACTCAACCAAATTGATTAATCCCTAGACTGATGAAGAGAACTCAAGTCACATGAGAAAGACTTCACTAATCATCAATGGCTTTGAAGATGAAGAAAGAGGATCATCAGCAAAGAATACAGTGACTGGGAATAGGCCTCAGCTTACAGTCAGCATGTCATGGAGACCATGGTCCTACAAATTCAGTTCATTTATCTCCTTCAGTGAAGTGTGTGTTCAAGTCTTCTATCCATTTTTAAATTAGGCTGTCGTTTTCTTAAGGTGCAACAGTGAATTCTGCCAATAACTCAAATGGGTAAGAAATGGATTTTCCCCTTAGAGCCTCCAGAAAGGAACACAGCCTGCCAACACCTAGATTTTAGTATGGGGAGACCTGTACAAACTATAAGACCTACAGAACTATAAGAAAGTTGTATTAATTAAAGCTACTAGGTTTATAATAATTTGTTACAGCATCATAAGAAAATGAATGCAAGACCTTACACAAATAACTACATGAATCATGGACCTAAATTTTAAAGTATAAATGATAAATCTAGAAAACATAGGAGAATGTCTTTGTTACTTGGGTCAGGTAAAGATTTCTAAGTCTCATAAAAGCACAAATTCTGAAAGGAAAGGTTGGCAAATTGTATTTTATCAGAATTAAAAATGTTTGCTTTTTGAAAGACACTGAAAGGAAAACTAAAGGAGAGCTACACAGTGGAAGAAAGTATTTGCAATATATTTATCTGATAATAGACTGGTATATCCAGAATATATAAAACACTCCTGCACCTTAATAAGGACAGCCTAATTTAAAAATGGATAGAAGATTTGAACACAAACTTCACTAAAGGAGATAAATGAATGGCTGGTAAGTACATGAAAAGGTTTATGTCTATTTTTTGCTATTTTCTTGATAAATAGACACGTTGAACATTAGAACATTACAATTAGAAACTATCTGAATAAGTGTGAAAACATCCCATTTCTGTATATGATATATAGAAATATGTATATAAAGCTACATAAATAAATGTTTATATGTGCACACATATGTATGTGTATATATGTATGTGTGTGTGTATATATATATGTGATCTTTTATATTTATCCAGATAATTTCTATTTCTAATGTTCAACATGTCTATTCATCAGGGAAATGTAAATTGAAACTACAATAACATAGTATTACACACACACTAGAATGGCTAAAATTAAAAAGATTGACAGATCAAAATTTGCTGAGAAAAATGGCTGCTTTAAGATTTGGGGCAGGAAAACTATAAGCTATTTCTGGAACATCTTGTTTCAGCAGAAAACAATGAAATGATTAATTACAAGGAATGTTAAAAGTGTTAGGAGTCATCCAGAAAAGTTCCCACTGGATTCAAATAGGGAAATCAAATAATCAACAAGAACAATAACTATAAGGGCTTAAAATACATAAAATATATTTAAACTTATGAGTTGATCACATTAAAAACATTGGTCACCTTTAGAGAAGTCTATGAAAGGCTTCTGCAAGCACATAAAGAGAAAGTGTTAAGCACTTACCTGCTTTCCTATGAAATCTGTGCCTTAGGGTGACTAAATAGTTAATGAGATGTAATATGGCTAATAAGTGAAAAAAAAAAGAAGATAAAATTAGAGTATCACCATTTTGCAATCCCTAATGAATTAATAGGTCAAGCAATGATCATTAATAACTGCTTATAGCAGAAAAGATCGTTAATTCTTGGCTCATTTGCACTAACTGGGGGTCAGAGAGAAGAGCACCTACGAGGGAGTCTTTCTAAGACAAAAAAATGAACCTGGATGTGAAGAAACCATTAGATACAACTAGCAATGTACAGAAAATATAGGGTTCAGAAGAGCATAGTGAGTGACATTGTTGGAAAGTAATCAGCAAAATCCAGACTGGGAAACTCTTCAGGACATATGACCTGCATGGTGACTGAGATTTCCTTCAAGACAATCTCGGGAGAAAGAAAGGGGGTACCATATATGGTAAGGGAGCTTCCTTAACATAATTAATAGTATTTGTAAAACAAAACAGACACCACACTTAATGGCTAAAGAGTGAAAACTTTTTTTTTAAAGATCAAGAGCAATCCAGGTGAACGACCATAGCTACTTGTATTCAGTATTAATTTTACTGGAGATCTCTAACCAGTACACTGTGTCAATGAATGTCTCAAGAGGAAACAGATGACACATTCAAAATGGAAGAATTCAGTGAGGGCTTATTCATAAAGGGGCCATTTAAAAAGAATTAGTCATAGGGGAGTCATAGGAGATAATGCAATAATCCAGAGCTAGTAAAAGTTGAATTAATCTCTTAACCTTGAAGGTCAGAGGGCGGAGCATTACTGGAATTCAGAAGCAAAGATAATGTAGAGTGAGATGCCTGAGAAAAGTAGTGACCTCCAGGGAACTCAAGACAGATCACCAGGGAAAAGGCCAGGGGAGCAGACCTAATCTCATCCTCTTTGCAGTCTTCCTCCAGGGTTTCCCGTTTGCTTAACCCAAACTGAAGTCAGAAGGACTGACAATTGATTTACATCATACTGATTCTTTGTAGGGTGGAACAGAGAGAAGTGTGGACCTGAAAGGGCAAAGAGACGCTATACAGTACATAATAGGACAAGGGTGGGGGAAGGATAAGGGTGGGAAAGGTCAAATAAAGCTGTCATTATTTGCAAGTGATATGACTATATATGTAGAAACACCCAGAGTCTCTACAAATACATGATTAGAATTAATGAGTTTAGTAAGGCTGGTGGATACAAGGTCAACAAAAAATTAGCTGTAGTTGAATAGCTGGCAATTATGACCTGAAATGGTAAACATTGCTATTTATACTAGTATTGAAATTATGAAACATCCATGATGTCTATCAAATGTTTGTGCAAATAATTATACTGAGAGAAATCAAAGACCTAAATAAATGAAGGGCATAAAAGATTGGAAATACTCATTATTTCAGGCTGTCACTTCTCCCCAAATTGATCTACAATTTCAAAGCAATCTCAATAAAAATTCCACTAGTGTGTGCTTTGAGTGTGTGTGTGTGTGTGTGCATGCACATAATTTTAAATACTGATATGGAAATCCACAGGCCTAAGAACATCCAAGACATTTTTAAAGAAGAATATTAATAACATTAAGACTTATTGTAAGGAATGCCAGTCTTGTATTGTAGAAAGGATAGACAAACATACAGTAGGAATCAAAGAGCAGTGTAGAAGGACTGGTCTTTTTTAATAAAAAGTGCTCTGTCAATTGGATGTCTGCTTGGAATAAAATGAAGCTTGACTCCACTTCACACCCTACATAAAATCAGTTCCAAATTGATCTGATATAAATGTAAAAGACAAAAAGCAAACAAAATTGAAAAACGAAAAAACAATAAAGTCCACAAACAAACTTCAACAAAGTAACATAGGGGGCTATCTTCAGGAACTTGGGCTAAGGAGAGACTTCTAAAAGAGGACACCAGAAATACTAATCATAAGTAAATAGGTTATAAAATTTGATTGTATCAAAATCAAGAATTTCTGTTCATCAAAAGATTCCCTGAAGAGATACAAAGAGAAGGCAGAGAGTGGAAGATGATACCTATAACAAACACAAGCAACAAAGAGTTCATAACAAAAATATAAGGAACACAGTTACAAATGAGTGGAGGAAAAAAGACAGACAATATGATAGAAAAATAAGTATTTCCAAATGGCCAAAAAGCAAATGAAAAGGTATGCAACTGCCTTAGTAATTAGAAAAAAGCAAACTGAAACTGCAGTGACTTAATACTGTTTACCCATCAAAATGGCTAATGCTAAAAAGACTGATAATATTAAGTGTGGGATGTAAGTGGAAAGGATATAAAACTAGAACTTTAACACATACTGCTACTGGTAGTGTAAACTGTTGCAATCACTTGGGAAAATTGTTTGAAATAATCTACTAGAGCTGAGCAAACACATGCCTTGTGATCCAGCAATCACTCTCTGGGTATATACTGAAGAGAAATGTGTGTATATGTGCACCAAGAGGTATGTGCACCAAGAGGGCTTCTGGGATGCCAGCAAATGTTTTACTCTTTTGAACTTGAATGGTGGTTGCAAATATGCTCACTTCATGGCAATTCACTAAGTTATACATGTTTTGTGTTCTTGTGTGTGTGCTATAGTTAACAATAAACAGAATAAAAAGGTGGTTCTTTTCTCCTATTCCATACCTGGCCCAGCATAAAACTCAGGGGGTCCTCTGGCCTTTCATAGACTAAGTTTTCAGTGATCTGCTGAGAGAGAGGATAAGGCATCACATTCCGGTTCTGAGTTAAAGTTATGTGGTCAGGTTATACTTAAAACAATAACCTAACATGTACTATAGAATTTTAAATATGCTCATATATACCTACAAGGGACAAATTACTTTCTTACTACTGATAAAATTAGGCAAATTAAAGTAAAATTTGGAGGAATAAAAAGTTAGTAATGAATAGCAATGGATATTTTTCTAAGTTTCCAAGATCAAAGATGTATTAAGAAAGTTTTTGTTTTGAGAGTTGTGATCTTGCTAGACTGAGAAATTAGTAAATTATTTGTTTTGAGGTTGAAGAAAAGTCTTCTGAATAAAATTTTAAAAACACTATCGAATTTTATAAAGAACCTTCCTTCTGAGGCATTTGATGTTAAAAGGTGTAAACGAAGTTCAGTATTTGTAACAAAAAAAGTGAGAAAGCACTTAAAAAACTTCAGAGATTTGCTTCCATACTTTAACTGCTGTTGAATAACCCCCCAAATTATAATGAAGCAAGTAGAATTCTCATTTGCAGGGAATAACAAAAGGACAAATTTCAGGTGTAAAATACTCATGGTCTGTATAATGTACCCATGCCAATTTTATGTTTCTTTTGAGTACACATATGAGAACTAATTTTTCTTATAACACTGCATGTTTTTCCCAACAGAAGAAAATTATTAATAGAATGGCTAGATATCTACTTTTTTCAACAGCTTTCATCCTTGACCTTAATAATTAGTACATTTTTCACTGAAGCCAGAGAACCCAGCCATTAGCACTCTCCCATAAAAGGACATCTTCAGAAAGCAAAAGCATAGAGCAGGGTTAATGAACTAAAATCACCTGTCCCTATATTATATAAGGAAACTGAGTGTGGGATTGATGGGATTAATACATAAATCAAGTAATATAGAAATCAAATGTACAAATGCATATGACCTGATTGTTTCTCCTACAACTCCTGATGCATGATCAATAACAAAATGAGTAAAGACAACACAGTTCCTACAACTCGTGGCTGCCCTCACGTGGTTTTGGTGTCTTTGAGGAGGATCACACCCTAAGGCTGGACTCAAAGTCAGATAATGATTGTGTGTTGATCATGTGTTGAACCCCCTACTCAAAATTCTTTGGATATTTGGGTTCATTTGCTCAATAAATATGAGGAGTGCCTTTTCGGCATTACTCTTGCGCTGTTACGCTTTGAGTCCCCTGGCTGGCCCTTTCAGGTCTTCGATGTCTCATCGCGTCTCCTCCCTTATCTGCGGGACAGAGGCAGGGAGGGGACCAAGAACTGAGATTCACAGAAGTTAATTAATTTTCCCCAAATCACAAAGATGAGGAGTGACAAAGTTAGGTTGGAGCTTTGGGCTAACAGATCACAAAATCTGTGCTCTTTATACCCTATTCTTTAAACTTAAACTTCCCCAGTTTAAATGTTTTCACTTCAGGCAGGCCATTCTTACTTTACACTTTTCTAACCACAAAATAACTTCATGTACACATTATTACATACATATATATGCCTTGCTTGATAATATTAACATAAAAATAAGCATGTCAGGCAAACAAAAACCCACCAAGCAACAAGAATTTTAAAATGTGACAATTTCTTATGATTCTATATATTGGCCAAGGAATGTCATACTTTATCCTGAGGTCAATAAGATGTGTAATTTCAAGAATTAGGAGCAACTTCAAACTACTTATTTTTTACCCTAAAGAATGTGATTTCTCAAAGGACACCATCAGCAGAACAAAAAGGCATCCTACAGTACAGGAGAATATATTTGTAAATTACATATCGACAAGGGGTTAACATCCAAAATATATAAAGAACTCACATGCCTCAACACCCAAAAAGCAAATAACCTTATTAAAAAATGGGCGGAATATATGAACAGACACTTCTCCAAAGAAGAAATTCAGATGGCCAACAGGCACATGAAAAGATGCTCCACATCGCTAATTACCAGGGAAATGCAAATTAAAACCACAATGAGATATCATCATCTCACACCAGTTAGGATGGCCAACATAGAAAAGACTAGGAACAACAAATGCTGGTGAGGATGCAGAGAAAGGGGAACCCTCCTACACTGCTGGTGGAAATGTACACTAGTTCAACCATTGTGGAAAGCAATATGGAGGTTCCTCAAAAAACTAAAAATGGAAAAACCATTTGACCCAGGAATTCCACTGCTAGGAATTTACTCAAAGAAAACAACTTCTCAGATTCAAAAAGATATATGCACCCCTATGTTTATTGCAGCACTATTTACAATAGCCAAGATCTGGAAGCAACCTAAGTGTCCATCAGTAGATGAATGGATTAAGAAGATGTGGTTCATATACACAATGGAATACTATTCAGCCATAAGAAAGAAACAAATCCTACCATTTGCAACAACATGGATGTAGCTAGATGGTATTATGCCCAGTGAAATAAGTTATGCAGAGAAAGACGAATGCCAAACGATTTTCCTCATTTGTGGAATATAACAATGAAGCAAAACTGAAGGAACAAAATAGTAGATTCACAGACTCCAAGAAGGGACTAGTGGTTACCAAAAGGGGAGGGGTGGGGGAGGACAGGTGGGAAGGGAGGGAGAAGGGGATTGTGGGGTATCATGATTAGTGCACATGGTGTGTGTGGAGTCATGGGGAAGACAGTGTAGCTTGGAGAAGACAAATAGGGACTCTGTGGCATCTTACTGATGGACAGTGACTGCAATGAGGTACAGGAGGGGACTTGATAATATGGATGAATTAGTAACCACATTGTTTTTCTTGTGAAACCTTCGTAAGAGTGTATATCAATGATACCTTACTAAAAAAAAAAGAAAAAAAGAAGAGTGTGATTTCTTAGATGGTCACAGGTTGGTCATCTTTTGAAAGTTATTCTATTCCTGCCTGGAAAGATTTTTTCTCTCTTTAGTTGCCAATGTTTTCTCCTTCCTTCCTAGTCTGGCTCAAACTTTAACCCTTGGCCATGTTTTTGCCTACCAACAAACCTACCTGATCTCTAATCCCTCTGAAGGCTTTCATATCATAGTAGTATCATTCATTTGGTGCTTATCATTTACTGATTTTGGTTAATACATCTTAATGCACTTAATGAGTTCTCAATGACATTATCTCTTTTACAGCAAAGGCCCTTTCTTGTACCCCTTGAAAGCTTGGTCAAAATTTGTTTTTTACAATTACTGTAGAACTCACAATTAAAGAAATGGATTGAGAGGTTTACCTGAAATACTTGTAGAATGCGGTGTTTCTCCATGTAATGTAGTGCAACTTGATAAGGATCTTCATATACTATAGGAGGAAACCCATTCCTATAAGTTTGATCATATGCATCAAAACTCCTTCCTTCTTGGTGTACTGAAATACCATCCTGAAATAGAAATATGCACCCCCAAAATCTTTAATATATTGAAAAGCCCCAGGAATTTTTGTTGTGATTGGTGCTGTTATCAGTAGAATCTGGTGTTGTTAGTATTTGAACACCAGGAATTAGAGAAATGACCCTTTGTTATGAGAGAGCTGGCTAATACTCCAGGCAGTATAACACACTGCAAGTCCTGGGAGGTACCTTCTGATGTTTTTCCCTTCAAAGATACCCAACTGACTTCAAATTCCTTTCTTCTGGTAGAAGCCCAGAGAGAGGAAGTGCCTTAGTGTCCCAGAGTTAACAGCAGAACCAGGACTTGAAAACCCTGGTCTCCTAAATGCTGGTTCATTGGTCCTTCCTGATGGAAGGGTAGCAGAGAAGGCAACACCTCTTTATTTCCGACCCTTCTCCTGCCCTTCCTGAATGCTATGGATCACACATCCATACCACAACATGTGGATTTATTCCTTTCCAACATGTGCCCTCCCTGGTCCCCCTTACCACCAGCACAGACCCCTGGCTTGGCCTCCAACCTCCCAGGTGGTTATCAAATGCCCCTTTAACCTACAGGCTTTGTTTCCATGGCTTCGGTGTTTTCTTGACTTGTGATATAGTCCGATTTGGTTGAGATGTCAGGGAATCTGTGGGAATAGACTTGGTCTTGTCCTTGGAAATCAGTGTCGATTCTGGCATCAAACATTCTCAATGCTTGCAGATCAGCTGCCCTCTCAGTATCAGTTTCAATCGAAGCTTTGGAATCCTTGAGGTCTACTTGCGTAGCCTCCAATTTAGAAGGTTGCACTCTGAGGTCAGCCTCTTTGACCTGGATGTCACCAAACTGGGGAAATATTTCATACTCAGACTGGTCATGCAGGCCGTAGTTAAGCAGGTTGTCTTCTGTGTGTGCGTCCCCTTCATCCACTAAGTGGTCAGTCTGTGCGTAGTCACCGTAGAGTGCCTTGTCAAGTGGAAGGTGATCAGCTTGGATGTCAGCCGGGTCATCAGTCTGGTAGTCAGCTAGTTTGGTAGCTTGCTCATACGCTTGGTGGTGAGTCTTTACAGATGTTCTGCGGTCGACTTGGCCAGACAGGTTGGGATCCACATGGGCGGACACTCTTTGGATAGCCCTGTCAGCTGTTCTGTGATAAGTCTGCTCATCTGCCTCCTCTTCCTCCCGGTTCTGCCCGTTGTCTTCCTGGCCCACCGTGTGGCTGTCATTTGGGGACTTGGATGTGCTTTCAGGTGCCAAGGATTCGGCCAGAGGCTCTTCCGGAGGCTCTTCCATTTTCTGCCTCTCCCCTGACTGGTCTAGGTTGCCAGAGGCTGTGGGTGGGCCGGGCTGGGTCGTCTAGGCGACATTCTTGAGCAAACAACGGCGCCCGCGGCTTTGTCCCGCCTGGCGCGCGGCCCTTCCGGGGGGCGCGCGGGTGGACGCCCGGTTGGGAGCGGGGGTGCGCTGCCTCGGACTCCGCGCGCAGCCCCCAGTGTGGCGTCGGCTGACGCGCACTGTGGCGCGAGCGCCGGCGGACCCCCTTCCCCTGAAGAGGCGGAGCCCCCACGCTGGCCTCTGGGCCCTGCGTGGCACGCTCCCCAAGAGGCGCGTGGGAAATGACATCGCGCAGGTACCACGCCTCTGACCCACCGCGCGCTCGCCCCCAACAGGCGCCCGGCCACCAGGGGGCAGCACGTCCGAGCGTGGTTCCTGTCCCGTCCGCTCAAACCCACGCTGCGGCGGGGACCGACTTGTCGATCCCGGTGATGCCCGCAGTGTGAGTGCTGGGCGCTGGGCTAGTAACTGGGCCTGCTGAAAATGGTATTCGTCTTTCCCTGGTGACGATGCCAAATTCTGTTTTTACTTTTAATGTTTTTAAGCCATTTTAAAATCTGGCCTTTCAACAAAGTGCTGGTCCTGTTTTCAGGTTTAGTCCTTCCTAATCTTGTTAGCACATACGTACTGATCTTTCCTCACAATGAGTGAACGCAGAGAGGAGAGTTTTGCTGTTCTCTTCCCTTGTCTCCAGGGACGGGTGAGCCTCTGGTTTCCTCCCCTTTGGGAAGGGCTGTCCTGACTGGAAACGGGGCTGGGAGGCCCCAACGTGTTTTCTTGCTGAATCAGACATAAATGACTGGAGGAGATAAATGAAAGGAGATTCAGTGAGGATGGGTTCTAAAATCACTACATCCAATTGTCTTAACAGCAGAAGAGAGGGCGAGGATTAGGAGCCAGAGTTCTGGAAATAAAGGGAGGAAGGTAGATGGGGAAGACAGGAGAAGGAACATTGAACGAGTGAGGAATTTGCCCTTGATGGTGGAGGCCAGGCTTTGAGATCTGACCCTCTCTTTTTGAAAATCAGCCTTAAGAATCCTCTTGACCCCAGCACACTCTGCTTTCAGGAGTAGGGCATTCAGAGGTGCCGATTGAGGAGACATCTGACTGTGATATCCAAAGCCTAAGGTCCCTGAGCCAGGCCCTGGGTTGGTACTAGAATGCTAAATATTCCTTTAATAGAGGTTCAGTTGCATTTGGTAATTAGAGATGAGGCACAAAAGCCAAATGCAAATAGTTGTGATCAACGTGTGAGGAGGTGGGTACCCTTGGTGCCACACTTGGGAGCAGAAAGGAGACTCTAAGTACACCGAAGTAAGATCATTCATATTAACAGTACCTAGAATGTAGTAGGTGCTCACGATGTGTTTGTTGAATATAAACATATGGATGATCTGCCATATTTAAAATGTATGGAGCAACTGGATGCTGCGTTTGGAGTAAAATAGGTGATAGGCTATGGTTTGCAACTTCAAAAGGGCATTGGTTTTGTAGATTTGTTTTTCCATTTACAGGTTAAATGTAATCATTGTAGAAAAGTAAGAAAAACAAGAATAAAGAAAAAAATTCTCTGAATACCTGAGGAATAACCTTTATTAACATTTTCATGTATATTCTTCTAGAATTTTCCCCATGTAAATCTAGATATCTAATATCTAATGGTATGTGTATATTTTACAAAATGAATCAAACTGTGCAGCTCTTCTATGCACTGCATCTTCCTTTAGCACTATAGTATACATGTTCTTCCTTGTCAGTAAATGTGATCTAAATTAAAGAACTGGCTTTTGAGGTCTGACCAATTTTGTTCTAATTCTGTATCTGCCACTTACTAGGTTGTTGAGCTCAGGCAAAACTCATTATTTCTCTGAACTTCAATTTTCTCATCTGCAGATAAATATGCAAATAATACAATAGCTGAGTTCTTGTGATAACTAAATGGGATAATACATATAATTAGCTTATATGTGCTTCATAAAGAACAGTTTTTAAAAGTTTGTATGTAACCCACTATATGAATTTATTTTGTTGTATTTGTGCTGCATTGACCATCATTGTACATTTTACAAGTTTGTCCTATTTTTGTCCTTAAGAATAATTTTTAGTTTTGGAATTGTTTGGTTAAGGAAATATGCTTGTTCTGGTCTTTTGAAAGTAGTATATTTAAAAGTGCCCTCCAGAAAAGTTGACCCCATCTATAGTTCCACCAATAATACTTGAGAATGTTATTTCCCTATACCAACATCAATTCTGTATATGTTTTTCATTTTTGCCTCTCTAATAAATTAAAGATAGTATCTTGCTTTAATTTATATTCTTTATAATTCTTTTATAAGGTTGGTAGAGTTCCCACTTTCATTTCTGGCTTTAGTTATTTACAACTTCTTTTTCTGGTCAGTCTAGCTTAAAGGTTTGTCAATTTTGTTGATCTTTTCAAGTAACCAACTTTTTTTGTTGTTGATTATTGTTTGTCTATACTCTTTAACTTATTTCTGCTCTATTCTTTAGAATTTCCTTTCATCTTCTAGATGTGTATTTAGTTTGCTCTTCTTATAGTTCTTTAAGGTATAAAGTTAGGTTATTGATCTGAGATCTTTTTTCTTTTTTAATGTAGGCATTTACAACTGTGAATTTCCTACAGGCATTTTCTTTGTCATGTCCTATAAGTTTTGGTATGTTGTGTTTTCATTTTCATTTGTGTCAAGGTATTAGGTTTTCCTTGTAATTTCTTCTTTGACCCATTGGTTATTTAAAGGTGTGCTGTTTAATTTCCAAACATTTGTGAATTTTCCAGTTCTCCTTCTCTTATTGATTTCTAGCTTCAGTTTACTGTATTCAGAGAAAAAACTTTGTATGATTTCAGTCTTTAAAAATTTATTAAGTCTTGTTTTGTGCCCTAATAAATAGGCTATCTTGGATGAATGTGTATGGGTAGGATGTTCTTCATGTACCTGTTAGGTCTTATTGGTGTATAGTGATTCAAGTCCTGTATTTTTTATTGTTCTTCTGTCTTGATATTATATCCATTAGAGATACCTTGAGTTAGTTCTTCAGGTGGCCCTCAGACAAGTCAAAACAGACAAACAGAATTCTTAGAGAACAAGGTGTGCTCTTTTCCCTCTGGAACAGGGGGCTAGGGTTCCACACCTGGTTTGCTGTTTTCAAGACTGCTACTAAATTGAGAAGTGGACATTAAGGACAGGTAAAAATGTTGCAATGCTCTCCTGTTGTTTGTACATTGTCTCTTTTTTGCTTCAGCATCCTTTGGTTGCTGTAAACCTTTATTTAAAGTTCTGACAAAGTTGACTGATAGGTTGTGCTTATTTTTCATTGTTTCTGTGGAAGGACGAGGCCCTGGCTACCTATTCTGCCATTTTCACTGATGGTACTCCCCATCCCCTCTTAAAAAGTTTTGAAAATGGGGCACTGTATATCTACATGAGATTTCCAGCTTCTTTTGAAGAATTGCAAAATCTGTCCCTACTGGACAACAGTTCCACACATCCACAATTGCCTGATGAGTATAGCAGTTGCCCTGTTCAGGCAGAACAAACATTCTTCAATTTCCCCAGACTTCTTCTCCTGCCCCTTAATCATTTCAGTTATCTGATTGGTTTTTATGACCCATTTTAATTTTCAATCTTTTTATTATTACATAATGACTAAGACCCTAGGCCATGAGGCAGACAAAACTGGATTTGAATCCTGTCTTCACCATTTACAGGCTGCATGCCCTTAGGAGAGTGACCTGTCCTCTGTGATCTTTAGTGTCTGCACTTGTAAAATGACAGTAAACATAATGACTCATCTGAGTTGTTGAGATGAGTAAATGATAGAATACTTACAAAGAATTTAATGCCCAGCATTCAGCAGGTAAATAGTGGTTGTAATGAGTTTCAATGTAAACTTACTAAAGTCTTTTTTCATGCCTTTTGGTAATGTTTAGAACTTTTTTTATATGTTGAGTATATTTATTCAAAAAAGTTATTCAATTTATGAATCTGGTTGTGATTTGGATCCTTTTCTCTTTAATATATTTTCTAAATGGCTAATGCTGATAAGTAGGAGGGATAATTTCTGATTCTCTTTTACCCTGCCATCTTTTAAATTTCTTATTAAAGAGATTTTTCAATCAGTTTCATTTTTTTTAGTAGGCAACAGTAATGATCCTTTTTTCAGTACTTTATAATATTTATACTTTCTCTTTTCTTTAGAATAGAACTCTCAAGCAATGTTTAATAGTTATGAAGATTGCAGATGTCTTCATTTTATTCCTGAATATAATGGGAATGTTCCATTAATCGCAATATTTAATTTTGGTCTTTCATGTATATATATACGATAAGGAAGTTTCTATTTTCATTTTATAAAGGACTTTAATTAGCTTTTGAATTTTATCAAATAATTTGTAGAATCTATTGAAACGATTGTATGATTGTCTCCATTAATTTACTCATGTAGTTACATCAGTAGACTTTTAAATGTTAAATCAGTTGTGCATTCTGAGAATAAACCTTATTCGGTCATCCTGTATTTGTCTTTTCACATAATTCTGGAATCAGTTGCTATATTTTATTTGGGATCTTTGTATTTTATTAACCAGTAAGAATGGTCTGGTGTTGCCTTGTCCTGTTTTATATTTGTAAAATTTTGGTATCAAGATTATGCTAGCTTTATAAAATAATTTAGGAAACTCACTGATTTTTCTGTGCCCTGGAACATTTTTATATGAACTCCATTCTTCAATCTTTGCTAAAACTCACCTATAAAGTCACATGGCCTGGCTCCTTGAGGTGTGAGGGTTATGGTTATGTTGTATGTAGATCTTCAATAGATTTTCCAATTTATTCTTTTGGTGTACTTAAATTTTTTTCCCCTTCTACTTGAAATATTTTTGATTATCCAACTGCTTAGAAAAATATTCCATTTCCTCTCAAATTTAAAATGTATCAAGTGTATTTAACAATATTTCAATCTCCTCCATTTATGCTTCTATGTCTCCTTTTTAATTTCCAATACTGAGTTCTCTTTTCATCTTGTTTGTTTTTAGATATGCTTTCATTCTAATATGTTTTGTCAGTGTTTCTTTAAACAGCCTGTGGGTAAAATTGTAACATTTCCAGAATATCTCACCTGCTTTAGTTCATTTGCATATCCTCAGGGGTGGAGAGAAGTTCATCTCCATGTCAGTGGATAATTACCTGGGCAGCCAAGGGTGTGTCTGAACCTGAGCAGTTTAAAGGGAGGAGCTTCCTTGCTTGCTGGCTTGCTTCTTCAGGAGCAGAGGAGAGAGATGGTGCTGGACTGCAGTTTGTAAGCAATAAGTGGATTTGAAA